AGAACTGCCCGGTAAACCGTAGGCAGAGAGAGAGAAGAGGACAACAAACGAGGGGCTGTGACAAACTGTTATATATATGTGTCTGTCTCTCTGTCTATCTATTTCTCTCTGATAACGACGGAATACACATGTTTATACGCACATTGCACGCAACTCTCATCGCCGATACGGGATCGTTCACTGCGCGTTCACTTTCTTCGACTCAGAGACTCACCATCGCCACCATTCTCTGCAGCTATGGCAATCTATACCATAGCTCCGCTGCCATGGTAATATTGCCATAGCTGCAGCTCCGAGGAGCTTCTTCACTCTGCAGCTATCGCGAGCGCGGGCAGAGAATGATAGGGGGTGCAAGAGCGCCCTCGGGAAGGGAAGATGGCTTTGAGAGGAGAGCTGAAGCGCTCAACAAGCAGATGAAGTGACATGGAGTGTTTCTGCTCGCCTGTGTCGCGTTTTACAGAAGGAATGAAGGGAGGGAGGGAGGGAGGGAGGGAGGGAGGATAAGACGGCTGGGAGTGACAGAGCGCATAAGAAACTCGATTACTACAATTTCTTGAACTTCCAGGCTCTCCCGGGTCCGAGGTGGAACCTTCAGATGGAAGTCCGCAAGGCATGGACCTGCACATGAACCACGTCCAGGTCCATCTCGGATCGTTGCTGGGGAGGCTAGAGACTCTTTATCCCGCGTACATATAGATCAGTAAAAGTGATGGCTTCTCTCATTCTCTAGCTTGATTGACTGCTTGATTAACCGATTGATTAATCATTTAACTGATTGAAAATCATTTGATTTGATTCATGAATGAACTGGCCGAGCTGTGACAGGGCAGAGAACACGTGACGACTAATCAACAGCTAAACGGAGAGGATGACAAAGGACAAAGGCATACACATCCGACGATAAGAGAGATTGACAGATCGGAAAGGAGTCGCACGCATCGAACGATTCACGCACAATAACAGACTCCGACCCACAACTAGTACAGCGACATCAAAGGGTTTTACACAAGAGCAGGACGTTGTGTGAGCGGATAAACTGCAATGAGGGCGTGCTCACACCAGGACTTTTCCACTTACTCATGGACGTAATTGCCGTCAGATGCATCCAGGCATCTGGCCGTAAATGCGGTCAGACACATTTCAAAAAAATAAAATAGAGCTAGTGTTAGCACGCCCTGAACTGAAGAGAGGAAGGAAGAGAGGCAAGAGAGCAAAACACAGAAGCAAAAGCAAGACAGGAGGACAGGACAACGATGTAACGCGGCCGCGCGGGGGGGGGGGGGGGGGGGGGAAGGAAGAAGGGGATGGAGAAGGGGAAGAAGAAAAAAGAGGAAGAGAAGAGGCGACGGGGAAGACGTTACTATCTAGAAAAACGACAGGTTGAAGTGACCGTTACCCTTGCCCTTCTTACCTTCATCCGAACATGAGTGAGGAGAGTAATCTGTCGTTGCGAAGCTCTCGACGCGATTGTGGTGGATGAGCCGCGTAGCTTTGGCGGCGACCTGCTGCCAAAGGTTCTTCATCTTTCCCCTCGATTAATCAATGACGATGAGCACCACACAGCAACCTCTGTGTACCTCGATTCCTCGTTTGAAATCATTAACTCTCTCTCTCTCTCTCTCTCTCTCTCTCTCTCTCTCTCTCTCTCTCTCTCTCTCTCTCTCTCTGTGTGTGTGTGT